AGGGAGAGAGAGAGAGAGAGGCAGTGTGCATGTGTGTGTGTGTGTGTGTTTGTCTCGAAGTAGTCTGCTCATAACCTTGCTTACAACGAGACAACCTTCGCAACTTCGACACAACAGCAAACAGTGTTACAAGCGGGTCCATGTCGGCACCCATAACAATGTTGATCACGACGATGCCGGTATCATGGGGAATCTTTGACATTGATGGCTTCCTGTGCATGTTGTTCGCATGGTCCAGTGGTTGCGCGCGATAATGGTGATGTTCGTTGTTGTGCCTTTTGGCTGCAACCCTCGTGTCGATCGGAGAACTGCATTACGAACATAACCGCTGCGCCTCTTCTTGCCCATCTTGCTGGCAGTGCTTGTGCGACAGCTACCACTATCCAGGTGCAAATGCCCCTACACCCTCAACCCCTAAACCCGAAACCCTACAACCCTAAATCGACTCTCTTGCTATTCCAAGTGTTAGTCTTTCGCCTCGCACTCACATGATGAATCATCGCAGGGTGCGCTAAACCCGAAACCCTAAAACCCTAAATCGACTCTCTTGCTATTCCAAGTGTTAGTCTTTCTCGCACTCACATGATGAATCATCGCAGGGCGAAACCCAAAACCCTAAATCGACTCTCTTGCTATTGCAAGTGTTAGTCTTTCGCCTCGCACTCAGATGATCATCGCAGGGTTCGCTATGGCCGTAGCTGTTGCTCTAAACACTTAACCCCAAAAATGCCTAACAAAACGCTGGACCCTGAACCCTAAACCCGATAAGTTTTAACCTTAAGCCCTAAACCCTGAATCTAAAACTAAGCCCTAAACCTTAAGCTTGTCCTTGACATTGGAGGCGTCGTTGTGTCTGTGATCGTTCAGGGCTAAGGCTCAGCATCCAAGCCCCCAGAGCTCTTGAACTCAACAACTGGGGTTTAGGGTTTAGGGTTTAGGGTTTAGGGTCTAGGGTTTAGGGTTTAGGGTTTAGGCTTATAGGGTCCTAAACCCTCAATGCTAAACGGGCTTAGGGCTCGGGAAAAAGGCTCTAAACATATGATATCTGAACTGCGACGTCCTGACACACAGTCCTGAGCTCGTAAGTTCTAAACACTAGAGCAATACCTGAACCTCTAGGCATTTGAGCCGCGGTTTAGGGATTTAGGGTTTAGGGACTACTTTTCGTACTTTTCTGAGCCGAGCATCCAATTGACTGAAAGAGGTCGAAGCCAGCAACGAGCTGGCAGGAAGAAAGCAAGACCTGGTCTCAAAGACTGGGTTGCAGTTTGGGGGCCTTGAAAAGTATTTCTGAATAGGTACCTCTTTAGAAACCATAAGGGAAATTTTAAAGTTTCCCAAATTGCCACCCAGAAGAGCTTTCTCCCACTTGTGTTTAGGGTTTAGGGCTTATCAAAAGTAGGATCGTAGAACCTTGTCCACGATTCAAGGCTTCAGCGGAATCTCGGGTCTAGGACTCGTGAAGTCGTAGAGAAGGGCAGAGGGTTGGATCCCACCAGGTCAGCTCAGAAAAGCGGAGCTGTGGGCGTCGGAGTTGCGGGCAGAACCCCGCATGTTTCCCGAGGCCCTGAACCCCGAAGCATTAAGCCCCAAAACCGCAAAACGCTCAACCCCCAATGCCCCTAAACCCTAAACCCCAAACCCTATAAAAACCCTACACACTAGACCCTAAACCTGAAGCCCGAAACCCTAAACCCCTAAACCGCAAAACCCTCAACCCCTAAACTCCTGACTAAAACCCTAAACCCTGAACCCCAAACCCCATATAGACCTGAAGCCCCTAAACCCTAAACCCTAAACCCTAAACCTGAAGCCCGAAACCCTAGTCTCGAAGCGCCTAGGCCCCCCAACCCCAACCCCAACCTGAACCTGTCCATGAAGCTTGGGGGGTTTAGGGCATTTAGGGTTTAGGGTTTATAAGGGAATTTAGTGTTTAGGGCTTAAGGCATGTAGGGTTTACGGGCATTTAGGGTTTAAGGCATTTAGGGTTTGAAAATATTCCCCCCCCTCTCTGGCGGCTGTGGCCCCGACAATTTGTACAAGCATGGCACCTGAGAGATGGCTGCTAGGGTTTAGGGTTTAGGGTTTAGGGTTTAGGGTTTAGGGTTTAGGGGAGGAGAAGGCTGCTGTTTTGAAGAGCTCGAAGATTCTAAGGTTGAACCCATGGGCCCCTAACATGGGCCCTTAGGGGATCCTTGGGTCCCTTAAGGGTATATATAGGGTATATAGCAGGTATATTAGGGTCCCAGGGTTAAGGGCCCATACTAGGGGCCCATGGGTTCTACCATAGAGTAGTGCAGCATGCCCACATGGCCGTATCATTTGTGCCAGTAAGTCGCTTCTCGTTCAACTTACTTTGTTGGTTTTCGCGCCCAGAGCCCAACAGCCCTTTATCAGGAAACATGCCATGAATAAATTGGTAGTATTAGCCCTACATTTTAAGGCAATGGTTCTAAAGCTTCCTTACAACCCTTAACAACAGTATGAACCCTAAACCCCATAACTCAAGGCATTTTCCTGAAGGTGGTATCAAGATCGGGCTTTTTGGGTAGTCCTTAAGACGGCAACCCCTTTTTCCTAAACCCTCAACCCTAGACCCTCAAACCCGGAACCATTAAAGGAAACCCAAAGGACCTAAAGGAACCCTACCGGGGTTCCCTTAAAGGAACCCTACCGGGGTTCCCTTAAAGGAACCCTACCGGGGTTCCCTTAAAGGAACCCTACCGGGGTTCCCTTAAAGGAACCCCCGTAAAAGAACTCAAAAAAAACGCGAGGCCCAGGCGAAGTCCACCGCGGCCGCGGCTGCGCTTGAGCTCGAAAGGCGCTGAACCTTCGTCGGAGATGCCTGGAACCCAGGCCGCACAAGGGCTTTGGGTTCAGGGTTTCAGGGTTTAGGGTTTAGGGTTCAGGGTTTCAGGGTTTAGGGTTCAGGGTTTAGGGTTCAGGGTTTAGGATGTAGATCCAGCCTCTAACAGTCCAACTAGAGGCTCTAGTGTAGGGGCCTTAATAATTAATTAGAATAGAGTTTCGGGGTCCATAAAAACTACTAATATCATAATAAGGAACCTCCCCCAAAAAATAATGTAAGTAATTATTTAGGCCCCTACGTTACTTTCTGGATCCAAGATCCGGGTCTGAGAAAACGCCACAGAAGGCTCGAAAGGGTGGTGTGAGGGTTAACGGCTCCAGAATTTCAGGGTTTAGAGCTTTACGGTTTAGGGCCTTAGGGTTTAGGGCTTTAGGGTTTAGGGCCTCAGGGTTTAGGGCTTTGGGGTTTGGAAAATGCCGCAAGGTGCCAGACGGGCTTCTGTAAAGAAGGGGGGGGGGTTGCTTCTTCCAGTCTTTTGGAAGCCAGGGCTTGGATTGAAGGGTCTGCATGAGCAGGGTCGAAGGTTCGGGATCTTCATGAGTTCTTGCAAGGGTTTCTACAAGGGATGCCACAGGACTTGATGCATGCAAAAAATCGGTTTCTACTAGGTGGCGCCTGCAAAGGGCGGCCTTAATGACTAGACTCGGTTTTCGCGGTTTTCACCACTACAAATTTGTTGGGGACTACTATGGCTAAGTCTTCCAACTCGTAGAGGATGAGAGTTTCTACAGGGGCCGCCAGCTCACAAGGGTCGCCATATCTAACAGGAGAATGCCTCGAAAACGCGACGTAAGCAATCACCTCGTTGCAAAACAGCCATATCATGATGTTCAAATTTTCCTGTATCGAAGGCACTATGTGTTTTGCTAATTTCCTTTGGGAGGGGAGCCCTCAAGAGGAGCCCTAAGATGTTACTTTTGCGTGTTTGCTTCTGTTGCGATCTCTCCACTGTTTACGATTGTTGAAAAGTTCATGCTCCATTGCTCCTGGCTCCAGGTGATCAGCCTGCGCCAGGCTCAACACAAGTGAACTGCCATCCCCCTCTCGGCAGCCTACTGGGTTGGGGACTTTGGGAGCACGGAACATCACCATCGAGGTCCAACAGAGCCTTGAACAAATAGAACTGAGCTCAACCCTAACTCGACAGTCGCTGTGCAGCTGAATGTATGTTCTGAAAAACCCACTATAGAAAGCCTATGAACCTCTCCTCTAAAGCTTCATAGCTGGAGGCGAGGGTGTTGCTTCCATAATTGATGTCTCCTGCCAGGCCTGCCAGATGTTCATCGTCTGTTCGCCAGTCGCTTGCCGAAAGTCCCCAAATCCTGCCTGGACATCAAGGATACGGGTCAAACTTACCATAGAGTTTGTCGAAGTGTCGCAATAATATAGGCTTTGGGCTTCGGGTGGGTATTCTGTAGCTCAAGAATTTTATTACAGAGCTTCGCGAGCTCTCAAGTTTTAGGATTAAAGTCCGGCTCTCCGAACAAGAACCTGCAGTACTTTGGGGAGCACAAGGGTTTATATAAAACCCCCAAGCCACAAACATCTTCTAGAACTCCTTTAGTTTAATCCACAATGAAAGCCCAGGTTAAAAGCCCGCAGAAAACCCTGGTTCATAACCGGCCGAGGGTTGTGATACGTGCTTGTTGGTGTCGGCAGGGTTTGTTAGAGTCAACAATAGAGGAACATGCCCATAAACCATAGAAGAATCACGTCCTTGATATGGCTCAAGACGCATGTCTGGTTTTGCGATTAACCCTGAGCCCAAAACCCTAAAAGTGGGACTGCAACAAGGGCCGGCGGTTTTTCCAGCACCTTAGGGTCCCGCAGCCCGTGCCTGCAAATTTCCGCGATGAACACTACAGGCAGATCCCAGAATAAACAAAAAGGCAGGTTTAGGGTTTAGGCTTCAAGGAAGGAAACATGTAAAGGAGCCTCGTAGAAGTTCGTAAATAGCTTTATGCAATCCGTTGTAGAACATTGAAAAAGCCCTTGTGAATGGCACTACGCCCCTGCATGGCAGAGCCGACGACTCTTGATCAAGAAGCTTAGGCACTGCTGTCAAGCCTGTAGTGTCTTCGCGCCTGGTGCTTTGAGGTGCGACGTCGTTTTGGCTTGAGAGAGGTGCATGTCAGGGTCTAGGGTTTCGAGGTACATTTAATAAGGAGTAGGACGTAGGTCGTACATTCTGCGGTGTTTAGGATCCCAGGTATCCGGGTTAAGATTGCGGATGGAGCCGTAAGCCCGAAACCTAAATCCGACAAGCTCCGTTCCAAAGGTAGGTATCCACAACCCGAGAAACCCCCTGTGCATCGCGTCCTCGTCCACGTCCAACACTCCCCTGTGACGCACGGGCTTGGTAGGTGTACTGTAAGGGCCTGGATGTCTTAGTACCATTATCCCTTCCTAGATTCCCAGCAGGTTTTAAGAATCAGCACCCTCAAAGAAGGATCACCTTAACCCGCTTTACCCATACAAGGGTAGAACACCTTCTTTGGGGGTTCTACTTTGTGGATTCTTTGATTAAGCGGTCTAGGTAGGGCTCCCAACTAACATAAGAAGGCCCTCGGAAAGGCTGCTAATGCTGGCCTGGACGTTGAGGAATCAGTTTGCTAAACGCCTATCAAATCGTCTCCCACTCAAAAACCCCAAGCCCCTAAACCCCTACACCCAGTAGCTCAATGTCCTAATACGTCACGCTTCGAGCATCAGGAGACTTGTTTCAATACAGCCCTGAGACTCGGAGCCTGCCCGCCCTGAGTTTTGGGGTTTACTGCCGCTTAGGGTTTAGGGTTTAGGGTTTAGGGGTTTAGGGCTGCAAGGAGGTTGTGCACAGACTGCCCCGAAGAGAATCTCGAAACAAGTTCACAGAAGGATTGAATGCCAAAAGCGGCAAGCTTGTGAGACCCAATATAGGGACCTTAACAATTGGAACTGGGGTTGGGGGAAATAATACTATGATCATAGCAAGGAGCCCCGAAATATTACTGGCAATGGTTTATGTCTAAATATTCTTAGCAACTAGTGCTCTTTAGTCTTCCTTATTTTGATTAAAGGATACAGCAATACGCTCCAAAAAACCCTAGTCTCATCATAAAGGCCCCTATATTGCCGAACCCACCCGGGCCCGGCACCAGCTGCGCCGGCGGCTGATGCGCGGTGTGCCCGGGTCCTGTCAAAGGATACAGTTCACTGCGAGAGCAACGCTGTTCACGGTTCAAAGAAGACTTGTGTTTTTTTTTGTGAGCCCCTTTTCCTCCCAATCCAATCCAGCGCGTGAAAGAGGTTTAGGGTTTAGGTTTTTTAGGTTCTTCCCGACAGCGTGGCGAAGGCTTTGCCGTGGAGGCAGTTTGGCTGGCATGATGTGACGATGTTGATGTGAGGTTTTCGTGAAGCTGCTTGTCATCTTCGCGAGGTTGTCCCCTAGGTTTTGGCCAGGTTGTCTCCGTTCTGTGAAGGGTTGAGTGGTCAGGGTAGTACGGGTTTTGGATGTGCGATTCAAGGCTTAGGGCTTTCGGGTTTCAGGTTCTAGGGTTGGGATCTGGGGCAAGGATTGGTGGGCCCGCCCAGCTTTCCAGGAGGAAGGGCTCCCTTCTTGGTACTTGGTAGTTTTATAATAAGGAACCTGAAACTCTGAAACCACAGAAACGCAACACCAGGACATCACTGGGAGACCTAGACTCTAAACCCTAAAGCTCTGCTAACTTTCCGGATCCCTATATTACATTCCTGGCCAACTGGAGTCGGCTGGACTGGCTTTGGTGCTGTAATGTAGGGGCCTTAATAACTAGAATGGGGTTTTGGGGCTTCCCTATCATATCCCCCAAACCCTATTCTAACTATTAAGAATCCTATACTACGCTGCCTGAATGGTGAAGAGATGTGCCACCTTTCAGCTTACACGGGGCACATATTCGACCTAGCTTGCTAGTTTTCCCATGCACAAAAACGGCTGCTGTCTATTGTCCTGAAACCGCATAGCGCAACGCAGTGACTAAACAGATAGAATATGTACAAAGCTGATCGGGTATACGCTTTACATAATAATATACCCTCATAGTTGAGAAAAAACCGTTTCAACTCTGCAAAGTTCTACGTAGGCAGATCGTTGCGAAGGGCCGCTCAAGTCAGACCCCCCCCTAAAATGACTTAGGCATTCGCGATAAGGCGTAGTACACTTCAGTTAGGATAAGGAGCGATAAAGGACTTGTGTGTCTAATTATTGCTAAACCCTAAACCAAAAACCCTAAACCCCTAAACCCTAAACCAAAAACACCCTAAAACAAAAACACCCTAAAACCCTAAGCCCTAAACCCCTAAACCCTAAACCAAAAAAAACCCAAGAACCCAAAAACCCTACTGTACGGGCCTCCTCAGGCATCAAGGCTGGCGGCGTGGTCCGGAATCCCCATGACTGGGCCACCCAAAAGGGATGCTCGGGAGTTTGGCTTCAGGGTTTAGTGGTTTAGGAGTGCTGTGCTATATCGGGGATCCACAAAGGGACCCTACTCGAATGAAGCAGGCTCCTCTTTCTACCAGTCGCACCAAAATAACATCCAGCAGAAACACCCACCAATCCCCTACTGCAATCCGTACGTGATATGGCCCGAGCTTGTCAATAGCTAATGTCCGTAATGTAGGGGCCGCAACAATTAGAATAGGGTCTTGGGGATATGTGATAATATACATACATATAGGGACTGTAAAAGAATACTGTTAGCTAATGTATAGACGGGCGGATTTCTTTTCGCTCCCTTTCTTTTGTTGCTACTTTTCTTGCCTGTGTTTTTCGGTGTCTCTGTGTGTGTGTGTGTCAGGGGAACGCAGGCCCAAATTGCAAAATTTTGCAGCCGCATGTACGCAGTGCTGCTGGATGACACCCTCATCTGCGAAGTCCTGGAAGGTGCCACGATCGAGGACGACGGCGCGATCTCAGTGGAAGGCGTCCAGGGCACGACCGCTTCGCCAGCTCGCCTAGACTACTTAGTTCAGGCCCTACTTGGAGGTTCTTGGGTAGTTATAAGTGGGGTTACAAGCCCCCTAATATAGGGTTATAACTATAGTTACCTTACTTATAAACCCACTTATAACTACCCATGAACCTCCAAGTACAGGCATTGAAAGCCCAGCAGCGCGGCAATGGACAGGATCTTGAGGCAAAAGGCCACCATTCTGTCGAAAAGCAGTCTACCAGCAAAATGCAACTGTTTGTTCTTCATGACACGATGCTCCCGCAAGCCAAGCCAGCCTGCACGGTTAAGAAGCCCTGTATTTATTCCCCGTCGCCTTAGCTTGAGCCCTCTAAATTATCACACCATGCCTTCGACACTCATCCGACTGCGAGCTGTCCTTTGTTTAGTAAGAGTCCTGCTTTACATCCCTATATACTTACACGATAATATGGTCCTTTGTAGCCCAAAACATTAAAAAAGCACAGCCCCAAGTCCTAAGCCAATAAGCGCCCGCCCCCCCCCCCCCCCCCCAACCACTGAGTTGTGTATTGACAAAGCAATGGTAGCCATGGTCGGCGGTGATGCTGATGACAGTTCCTGATATCCGCACTTCAAGCCCCCCCCACCCACACTCCCTTGCACTTGAAAGGCTTACTCCGTGTTTGTGGATAACTGGAACGGGATTCCATAATCGATAGCAAAGTCTTATGGTAAGCTACTTGGGCTTTTAAACAAGAGCATTAAGTGAAAGGACGTAGGGCCGGTACACAGTCGGACCACGCTGGGAGCATCGCGAAGTTTGCATCCTCCCATCGGAGACTTGATAAAAAAAGTATTGGGCTCTGTGAGGACGAGTCGGCTAAGGCCACAAACCCCTTTGACACCTTCTTTGAAAGAAAGGTACTTCCGTAATTGCGGGCTTTAGTTGGGTTTTCTGGCTTGAGCTAGGTGATCAGGGCTCGGGATTTCTGGGGTAGCAGCAGCCGTAGCACGCGAGCCCAAACGAATCATATGGTCTAGGTTCCTGAGTGACCCCTTAATAATACGGGTGCCCTTTTTCCTGCTATTCAGTTTTAATAAGGGAACCATACAATAAAAAGGGCAAAAGGGTACTACTCAGGAACCTAGCTCAGAAAACCTTCAGCACTTTGAACTGAATGTGTGAACCCTTGCCAGCACACTCAGGAGAGGGTTTAACGTTCAGGGTCTACGATGGCAGATTCATGTGTGCAGTTCTCCAAATTAGGATCCCTTTTGGGGTCCTTTTTACAAGGGTGCCGTACAAAATTGGGGACCTAAAGCGTCGAGGCCCCTACTCTGACAATTATTACGTTCTTTTTACTTTCAGTTATTGCTATTGATATTCTTGTCATTTCTATTACTATTATTAATACTGCTAGACGTTTCAGGCCACCCCACATACTCAATAAGAAGTGTCTTTATGCAAGGCCTTATCTTCCCTTTCTGGGACCTCTGAACAGAAGCACCAGAGCCCCCAAACGTGTCCACTCATTCCGTGGAAGGTCGGCTAAACCCTAAACCCTAAAACCCAAAGCCCTAAACCCTAAACCCGAAAACCCGAAACCCTAAAACCCGAAACCTACACCTTACTTGTAAAAGGTCCTCAAGTTGGTTGGAGAAGGCCATGCTCTCTGTCCCAACCTGCACCAGTGCGTACTGTCCAGAGTTTAGGTTCCAGATTTGAGCTTAGGGTTTAGTGTTTAGGGGTTTAGGCCATTAGGGCTGCAAGGGCCTAGCATTGGCTTTGTTTGGGAGCTGCTGCCATGGCTTGTGCAATTACCCTCCAAAAAACGAGGTCCTTGTTCCCTAGGTTCCGCAATATCCTCTTAGCCATACTGATGTTGCATTCGATTGTTTAGTGTTTTCCTTGAAGGGTTTCTTCAGGAGAATGAGGCTCCAATTTTTCTGGCGAAGCCCTAAACCTTCTTGTGTTTTCATATCTTTCTTCGACCTGCACGTGGTGCCTGAGATTGAAGGAGCAATTGCCAGGTCCATGCCGTGGGTTCAGCGCTGTAGGATTTGCAGATCTGTTCAGGGACTAGGTCTAATGGTGTAGTGTGGAGCACAGAAAGGGTTTCCTTGAGTCTTAGGGAGCCGAAGCCAGCATGGTGTGCTCAAAAACCAGCAGCAACCAGCACCAATTCAAGATGCCAGGCCTTGTCAACCCGCCCGGTCGAAGGCACCCGCTGGCAGTTCCGAGCGGCTTTAGTCTTGGCTGTTTTGCAACTAGAGCCCACATACAGCCTGCACATTCCACGCTTGAAGCTGCCTGGATGTTCAGTTTCAGCTCTTTGCCACTTGTCGCCAGAAGCAATTGGAATACATCACAAAGTTCATGCTGCTGCCTTGCCAGCTTTCTAATTGTCGTGTTGCCGCTAACGATCTGCAGACAGTGCATTTGCTCTTGCCTCAGGAACCCCAGCTGAAGCCTGCATGAGAAAGCAACGGCGCAAAGAGTTTCAGCTCAAGGCTTGTTCTGAGTTCTGGTCCTTCCGGAGCTGCGTATCGAAAAGAGTTTGTGCATGACCGTGAGCCTTTAGTGGGAACGCATCCCCGACATGTGCTGTGCTGCCCTGTTGATGTGCTTACGAGCTACGAGTACACGAGTAAACGAGTAGGCCGTTGATCCAAGAAACGAACATGCTTCCGTAAGAGAGGAAGTGCGTGCTAGTCTGCACGAGGAGGCACGTGACAGTCTAAACTATGACAAGAAGAGAGGGCTTCTGCATGGCAAACCCCGGCAGCAGAGGCTGCAGCACGCCGTGATCATCACATCGCGAAGATACTAAATCACACCAGACCGCCGGGAAAGGTCATGATATAGCAGGCCCAGCATGCGGCTCATGGACAAAATCCTGCTCCACCTCAAGTGCCCCAACCTACGGAGATGATTCTGTATTCCTTTTCTGGACCATACAAGATATAACCCATCAGCAGTAGGAACCGCAATATCAGCAGCAAGCCATCGAGACTTGTGGAGGCTCCCTAAAACCCTAAAGTGCGGGGAGGGGGGGGGGTTCAGGGGTTTAGGATTTAGCCCTAAAGCGGCAAACCTTAAACCCTAGCCCTCGCCTAAAATGCACTTAGAGGCTCCGCTTTTTACGTGACCGTGTCCGCGTAGTAGCCGGCTGGTTGTACGCAGTCAAGCGGCAGCCATCCTCGGGTTTAGGGCTTAGGTGTTTCGGGTCCGAGGGCTTTTAAAACTTCCATAGGTTGAAGGGCTTGATTCAGGGTCTCCGGCTGGGAGCCAAAGGCTCTGAAGAGGTCTAAGTGTATACGGTTCGGAGGATATTAGGGATTAGGGGTCTACTCTGCTAGTATCGCGATGCGACTGTCATGCTGGTATCGCTGTCATTCTCTGCTTGCCTCTGTCCGCCTTGTGAGTGTTTAAGATTGGATATCCAGAGACTCCAAAACCTCGTAATTAAGGCATAAGCCTTAAATCTTAATACGGAGCTTCCTATAACTCAAGTCAGGGGTTTTGGACCCTCGGGAAGACGGGGTGGCGGGGTAGTTTTGGGTCAGTCCGACGCTTTGCGTCTTCGACCTCAGGCTCAAGTTGTTTTGCTTGGCTTCCACCATGCCTAATGTAGGGGCCTCAACAATTAGAATCAGGATTCGGGGCCATTATACTGTACTTATAATAAGGAACCCCCAAAGCAGTATAGGTAATTATTTAGGCCGCTATGTTGGAGAGCCACATATCACCACGACTTAAGGGCTTTAGTAAGGGTTCAGAGTGTAGGGCTTGAGGGTTTAGTGACATATCCCTCAATCAAGGAACGTACTTTGAGTTGTAGGGTCATTAAATCATGATTCTTCTCAAAGGAATATTCCTGGATTGAGGGGTATTGGGCTTTTTCATAAATTCTAGTGGGCTTTTAAAATTGATCCTAAGCCCTAAACCCCAACCAGTTTTGCAGTAGTAGCTGAGAATCGCAGCTGCGCAAACCAGGACAGGCTTCCCTAAACCTTAAACCCTGAAACCCTTAGGCTACGAATATATCCTTATTTAAACCCCTAAACCCTAAAACCCTAAGCCATAAAGGGTTTTGAAATCAGCTGCGCAAACCAGGAGAGGCAGTAAGACCCTGACCGCCAGCGTGGTCGGGCTCTCCTATCGGCCAGCCGTAGATGTACTGGCAAGTGTAACCTTCGAGTGCTAGGTTTGGGATCTCGAGTTCTACGGTTTAGGGTTTGGGACCCTAAACCCTAAACCCCTAAACCCGAACCCCCTAAACCGTAAAGGTCATGGCATTTGGGATTCAGGGGTTCGGGCTAGCAACATTCGACGTAGGCTTGGTGCTTGTGGCGACCTACTTCCTCTACTCTCTGAGTTAGAACCCCAGTGCTACAAGCACTCTGACTTATTGAATCTACGCCGAAACTTAACTGCTCACGACGCACACATTTTCGTCGTGTGGTAGAAGCACTGTAGCACGCCGTTCGGCGACGAAACAGGCTTGAACGGCGAGCTGGTGTCGGGCGCAGTGTGCACCCGCCCCGCTGCCGTTCGCCGTCCGCCGAAAAGGCACCTCAAAGGTGGAGTGGGTGGGAAAAGCTTAATCTGCGATTTGGGCCAGAGTGCTGTCGGCGTTCGCCGTTACCGAGTGTTACTGCGCACACACGTGTGCTACACTGCAACCACCCTACCTGGTAGAGTCTTTTCGAACCCCATCGTTCAGACAGGGTCTTCAAGGTATGCATCGTTGTAGCCTCTATAGGGTCTGGGTGTTTGGATTCTGAGGCGGGTTCATGGTGCCTCTCGTGTGCACGATTTCGGTCTCGAGTACTCCCCAAGGTGCTGTTCTTCATGTAATGCAGGGTCCGTAATCATTCGAATACTGGCACGTGGAAGAATTCAGTTCTGAAGGACTACAGGGGCATATCTTTCATATTGGTTCAGAATCTGTACAGGTTGCGTAGTACTGAGACAGCGTAGACTGTTGCCTGCTCCGGAAGAGCCTGAACGAGTCACGAACAAGTCCTGATCGGATCTCTACGCCCGGCTTTGTTTGCTAAACTCCAAAATCATAGACACCTTCTCAAGCAACTTTCAGAAGCCGTTCTGGAACGCTTAGAGCAACCCTTGAAAAGGGTACTGCTGTAGGAGTTTGGCTTCAGGGACGCTTGCCAAGCCACTGCTTCCCTCCTCGGCGGGTGCAATAAACTCCTCGGCGTCTTGACAAGAAACGAGCAATGTCACAGGGGTGAACTCAACGAGCCACGTCGAAGCCTCAATAATTTGAACCGGGGTTTTGGACATATTATGGTATAACTGGTTACAGCCTACAAGGAGATATGATTTTGTGCCTGCTCCTGAGATAAGGATTGTTGGAGTCTCCGGAGATGCACAAAGCAACAACACCACTGAACATGGCCGTACTTCGTGCGTCACTCTGCATGAAGACTAGCTGGGTTCTCAAGAGGGTGCCTCGAAACAATGGTACGACTGATGGCCGCAATCCTGCAATACCTCAAGCGCCAAGAAGTATGGTACATTCCTAACTGTGGAAGACTAAGGGTTTTTGTCTACCAACTGTAGTGTAGAATCCACTGTGCACCCTACAGCAATCAGTTGAGTTCAACACGTCCTTATCAAACCCTAATGTAGGAGCCTGATTAAGAAACCCTGGACCCTAAAATATTAGAGTTAATAGAAAGGACCCTAATTGCGAACTTTTCCAAGCACTAAAGGGCTGCGATCCGATGGTCGGTGTGTACAAAGCGGCAGGGGCTAGTCTCTTGCACCCCGCCTTGGCTTACAGCTCCTCCTGTCTACGGAGCTGTCAGCCATTAAAAACCCCTTTCGGGAAAATCCTTTTCTATCCTTCCGGCTAGCCACTACCTCTGCCCCAGACATGCCAAACAAGGACTGTACTCCCTCACAACAGAATGCCTTATGTTTCCACAGGTGGGCAGATGGTAGCGCTCGCCCCGTGACGTAGCCACTGCAATTCGCTCTGGCGTCCTTAGGCTTCTTAGCCCGGCTACTTCCCTAACCAGGTCCCTGTTTTCCACTCTCACTTCACGAAGGGCTCGGCTCATTGCTTCGTTCTCCCTGCACTTCTCATACAGGGCGCTTTGCAGCTCTTCGCATCTCCTGACATACTCATCCTGGAAGAGCCGCTCGTCTTTGCTCATTCCAAGGCTGCTTTGGTTGCCCCTCGAGGCGCTGCTTTTACTCAGACTCCCATGGGTCTGAGTGTCTTGCTCCTTTGTACTGGGCTTCCTCCTTGAGCAAAAGGGAAGCCATGCAGAGAGCAATCTCACAACGAGTAGTGGAATGCCCAAGAAAACCAGAGCTATAAGCAAGCCCAGGCCGAGCGCAGCTGACACGCTTGCCATCAGCTCCTCATCAGCCATGAAGAGGCTTGCTAGGCCCAAGCCCTCAGCACCATAAATCTGGCATAGCATCACCATCAAAGGGAGGATTGTCTTAGCATTCACTCTCCCCGCTCCACTCTCAACATGCATGTCCTTGAGGGCCTTTGTCAAAGCCTTTTTCCCAGCCATCTCGTCGTGCTCCTTCTTGCCATAGGGCTCGTACTCCTCGGTCATGGCTCCAAGCAGGTACATGAGTTCACGTAGTCGCGGCCCAGCAAGTGGCTTTGTGCCAACGTCGGCAGGATTGTCCTGCCCACTGATGCTGGCAACCTTCAGTCGCCCCGCCTTGACTGCAGACTGGACCCAAAGGAGTCCGCACTCTATGTGCCTCAGCCGGCCGCATCCCAGCCTTTGCGTTATTCCTCGGCAGGCTGCGCTGTCAGTGCGGCTCCTCAGCTCAACTGTCACTCCACTCTCGGGGCCCAGGAGGAACTCGAAGACCTCGGCCACGTAGAGTCCTTCCCCGGCACCGCCCACGAGAGCTATGAACTCGCTTTCCCCCGACGAGAGGGCCACAGACTTCTGGCTCCGGACCATGGAGCCGATCAAGCTCCCCCCAGCGTACAGCTGGATTGAAGTTCTGCTCTTCCTTGTCCTTCTGCAGCCAGCCCAGTCAGCATCTGTGATCGCCTCCACGACCAGCTGGCTGTCTCTCCCCAGGAAACCCTTCCCCACATAGCCAAAACATGCTCCATTTCGGATGGGCCTCATGAGAACCCCGATGCATGGATTGCGCCGAAGGTAGCCCACCACCTTCTTGAGCCACTTCCACGAAGACACCGTGGGGCAAGCCATCTTTGAACTGAGGATGCACACGGCGAACTGCAAGTCGGGCCGCGAGTGGCTCAAGTAAAGGAGCCTGCCAACAGCCTCCCTGTAAAGCTTTCCTTTTTCAGCTGGGAGCTCCTGAGACGAGTCGGGCTCAAGAAACTCCTTGTCTGCTGGCACATCCTTCTCCTTGGTTTCCTTGCCGAAGGACTCGAAGAGCGACTCTGCATAACGGTTGCTGCTGAACATAACAATTCCCTCGGGAACTCTCACGTACTTCCTCTTGAGAAACTCCAGCTCGTCCCCGACCTCTTTCATTGGCTCACTGACTTGAAGCTTGACCACCTTGCCCATCTTCTCGACAAGGTCTTGACGGGCTTCTGCAGTAGAGCCCAGAAGGCCATCATCAGCATGAAGGAGCATGGCCGTGGGATTGGAGGGCTCCTTATGCCGAAACAAGGTGGGCTCTTTCGCGTAGTGCTCTAAGCCGTTTGTATTGAGGATGTCCTTGGCAAAGCCATACCAAGCACTCGCACCTATCCTTTGCCCTGGTAGAAGTCTTTCCAAAACGTAGGTGACCGTGCCCACATTGGTCGGGTCGAAGAGCGACGCTTCAACCTCAATGGCAACTGGCTCTGGCTGGGCCACATTCAGGTAAGCATCTTTCACGTCCAAGGTGACCAGCTCCAGGCCACGTGTGATCGCCAAAGTCATAAAGGCATGGATCGCGGCTAGGTTGGAGGCGGGCGCAAAGAGGTCCTGGGTCCATGCTGTCCATGCTTTAAACTCACGCGCAACCAGACGACTCCTCCTGAGCCATCCTGGCCTTTTTCTCCAGTCGCGCACGATCTTCGTAGTGAGCCTTCCATAGGTGCTTGTGTCTTCACCTTCTCGGGGCAGCCTCATGACACCCATTTCCTCCAGCCTCTTGAGCTCTGTTCGGTCACTCTCGGCATTTACCTTTTCAAGGTCTTCGGCGCAAAGGTCAGGAGGATGCTCACTGTGCTCGTCCCAGCTGGGTTCGAAGTCCCAGTCGTCATCGAAGTCCTCAAGCAAACCCTCTTTTGCGAACGACTCACCTACCTCCTCCGACCAAAGGGCAAACTCGCTAAGCTCCTCCCCAATAATGTCTCCATGAACCTCTCGGACTCCAGCAAAGCATGGTGGATATAGTGAAGACCCCGACTGACTGGTAAGCGTATTGGCCACGGAAGGTCTTGCTGAATCTGCTCCGGATTGTGGTTGGGAAGGTCTTGCTGAATCTGCTTCGGATTGTGGTCGAGAAGGTCTTGCTGAATCTGCTTCGGATTGTGGTCGAGAAGGTCTGTCTAGTAGCAACCGTGCTCGCTTTGCCCCAGGAAGAAGAGCTTGCTCAAGTTCATGGCTTGGGTTTGTTTGGGCCCCCTCTCTGGGGGCCGTCTCAGCGTCCATGGGCTCAGCACTGTTTTCAGGGTCCGGCCCAACCGTAGAGGGGGACCTCGCCGAGTTTGAGTTGGGGCTGTCCGAGCCGGCTTCATCGTTGTTGTTGTTTGGCTTGGGTGTACTGGAGGCTATTGCTTCTGCTGCTGCGGTCCCGGCTGCTCTTGCTAGCTCCTCCAATGTGGCTGTGTCCGGCAAAAGAGGCACCCTTGCTGAAGTGTACAGGGGTCTCTTTCTCTTCTTCGTGCCCATGTAGTCCCATGGGAGCCCGGTGTATGTCACAAGAGCGGCTCCATCCCACTGCTGTTCCATGGGCAACCTCCTTATACTCCGCGTCTCCCTTGCACCGTCGGGCGTGAGGACAATGTTGGCTCCATTCCTCTCGTTGATGCCCATGAAGAGTCCCCGCCTCCACTGGAGGTCCCCTTTGCTCTTCGAGGGGGCATGGTAAATGCACAATTCCCCCCAAGGAAGAAGATTTGCTTTGAAGCGTCTCCCAAACATAATCTCGAACGCTGGGGTCCCCCGAGAGCCGCAGTGGAAGCGATTGTGTATGAACGCTGAGTGCCTCAGCAGCCATGCGAAGGCATGATGATTTCCCTCAAGACTCACCTTGGTCCTGTCCTCAGCAAAGGCCTTAAGGGTAAGGGCTCCCCTCCTGATCGTGTCGATGGCTTTCTCGGCCCTTCCATTGCTGCTGTGGCTACCTCTTTGGGTGATCTTTACCCTTGTCTTCAATCCTAGCTTCGCCCTGCATGCGGCAACGCTGTTGATCACCTGTTTGATCGAGGGCTCCGAATCTCCCTGGAAGGCCACCTCTCCCGCAGCACTGATTTGAAGGCTCAATCGAACCAAGTTCTCGGTCACTCTCTTCAAAGACGAGGCGCCCTTCTGGAGCACCGGGATTGCAGCAAGCCATCCAGTGGTTGATTCGGCCCCCACAAGGGCCAAGGCAAACTGGTCTCGATAGTCCTCAGGGCCGGGGGCCTGCTCTTCCTGCGTCTTTTCCTCAATGCCTGCATCGGTTCCCTCCTGCTTCTCGGTCACCTCCTGGCGGGCCTTTGTGAAGGTGTAGCAATAGTCCACTTGAATGACCGGCACGTTCTCCTCGGTGTCCTTCGCCTCTATGCCCGGCTCTGGTACCCTAAGGTGAGGTGAGGACCGAGACCGCCCCAAGAGGCATGCTTCGCACCAGGAAGCAAAGGGTTGGTGAGTAGCATTGTGAAGCTCCTGCTGCCTCGCGCTCGGAAGAATCGGGGTGGCTGGCAAGTTTGCTGGCCGATCCCGCTCAAGGAACATTTTTCTCGCCACCTCAGTCGTCATCTGCTTCTCGAGAATCTCGTGGTGCCCCTTGAGACGCCTTAGCACTTTGCTCTTCGGCCCAGCCCGGCTCAGACCAAGCCGATCGCATAGCTCCCTGAGCTCTTTGAGGGGGGTCTCATCATCTAGCTTCACTCCATCCAAGACTTCACCTTCGGGCTCTTTGTCCAGGTCCTTTTTGCTCTCGGCTACAACCTCGCACGGGTCATCTCCGATGCCTCCGGTCTCCTCTGCCATCGGCACAACCACATTGTTATCATCACCCAGGCTCTCCTTGAAGAAGTCCCCGGGCTTGCTGAGGAGGTTCTGTGGCAACTCGTCAACATGAAAGAGTATTGCATAGTCGTGGGCGCCGATAAACTCCTCATCGATCTCCGCAAAGACCTTGATGGCACCATCGAAACCAGCAGTCGCCATTGTATATATTTGGACCCACACATCCCCAGGCCGCGGTGTGCGGTCAGCTTTCTCAAGACGTACAAAGACAGCCAGCCAAGCCCAATCCTCAGTTGACCAAAGCCAGCTCTCTTCTTGGATCTCCTCAGCCTTGTGACCCACCAGAATAGGAAGCCCACTTCCCAGCACATGCCACCCAGGGGTCGCCGCGATGTCTTCGACCTCTGGGGGAAGAGGGCCCATATCCTCAAAGACCCCAATGGCTTGAACTGCCCGGCTCTCTGGCACTCGTTGTGGTCCCACGTGGCCGTCAGCCACGCCCGTGGTGATGACCGAGACCATGGCCATCATGATGAGGGTGTTCCTGCGAAGACGAATGGGTACTCGGTGGCCCCCTCTCTCAAGGGTCGGTCCATCACCTACGTGTCCGAGGCACCAACCTGCACGAAGCATCCGCCCCAAAGAGAGAATGATACTCCCGACATTGGCAATGGCAAACTTCTCCCGAATCTTCACGCTGTCGTTGTCTAAGGTGCCGACGGTGATGTCGAGGAGCCTGGTGTTCAGCTCCCTGATCTCGTTGCCCTGGGCATCTTGCATCCTGAACCCCGAGCTCTCGGCTGGAATGCCATGTCCCACGAAATTCTTGGGGGCAACGCTGACATCAGCTCCACTGTCCACGACAACCTCGACCTGCACGGGCTTCGCGCTCACAGCAAGGACCTCCGCCACAGCACGCTTCTCAAGAAGATTGGGCTCATACCACGGCACCGTCCAGTTTTCCTCGCTGTCGGTACGGTCCATTGCGTAGTGCTCAACGAAGACCTTGCCGAAGTCATTCCCAGGCGCCGGCTTCATCTCAAACTGGCTGTTGTCGAGGTAGCTCCGATTGTCCTCAAAAACGGGGGTGAGGTCATAGGAGTCGGGGCCGGCCACCTTTATCATCATCACCTCCGGGCTGTCCAAGGAGAAGAGGCCGAGCTCTTCGTCATCGAGCTCGCTCATATCAAACACTTGTGTGGAGGGGCAGCCCGGGGGGGTGCCAAGCACAGCGCTGATTTGGTTCACTGATCGCGCTCCTCTCTGCAAGGCCGTTGCCGTAGACGGGGCCGCCGTGGTTGCCGACGAGGCCACCGAAGGGGCCACTGAAGCAGAGTAGCTCTCGGCTGTGCTCGCGGCATCGACCTGCCGAACCTTGCCCTTGCCCTTCTGCGGGCACTCCCACTTCCAATGGCCCCGCTGTCCGCATATGTTGCAGCTGTCCTTTCCTTTGCCACTCGACTTGCCATCCTTGCCGCTGCTGCCTTTCCACGGGGTCCAGTTGGACCCTTGTTGGCCTCCCCAGCTGCTCTGGGACGACCAGCTATAGTCCTTTTGCTGCCAGCCTTTGCCTTCTCCAGGCTTGCCCTTCTTTCCTTTGTCGCCTTTCCCTTTTCCGTCCTTGCTCTTGCCATTCTTGCCCTTGCCGTCCTTACTCTTGCCCTTCTTCCCCTTGATCTGGTCCACTTCCATTGGTGCCGGGCCACCGGCGTCATTCGCTGTCTTCCCCGGCAAAGTCATCGACCAGGGCGCATTCAACGACTCATATTGAAGCACCCATTCCCTCACCTCGCTGTAACGGGTGGTGCTTCCCATTCGCAGCTGAATCTGCGACTTGAGCGGCTCCTTCAAGCCCGTCACCACTGTAGCCAAAACCAGGTCCTCGGGGAAGCTCTTGCCGCTGCTGGCTTCATATAAGCGAAGGGCCTCTTCATATTTGATGAGCTGCTCATGTAAGCCGGTTTGCTGGTCAAAGCGCCAGCCAGCAAGCTGACGCACCAAGGCAAGTGACCTCGCCTTCTCCTTCGGCTCCATTTCCCGACGCAAAAGCCGCCAGGCTTCCATGCCGTTCTTCGTTTCCTGCTTTTGCCGCACAATCAAAAGAGGGCGGCCCTTGATCATATTGCACAGGACCCCGAAAAGCCTGTGGGATCTTGACACTTCGTCTGCCGTAAGGACCGCATGGTCCACCTCCTGGTCCAGAGTAATATCAGCCAGGTCGGTTTCGTAGTGCTCGTCGTGCGTAACCAGCCAGTTCGTAAACTGGAAGGCCCATTCCTTCCAAGTGCGCAGCTCCTCCTCACGGTTCTGCGGCTTCCACGCTTCCACTTTCAAGGTCCGAGTCAGCCCATCCAGCCTATTACTCGAGGCGCTTGCCTCGGCAGCCTGAGCTGCCCTTTCCGTTGTATCCACAAGCTTCCGAAAAACTCCTTGGAAGGCCTGCTCTAGGCGGGAGCGAACAAGCCGATCCACATCTTCAGCTCCAATCCCTCCTTGCTGCACCTGCTGCTGCTGCTGTTGCTGCGCAGCCTGGCCTTCCATTGCACCAGCCCACCAGCCAGGACAAGACCTAGCGAGGTGGCTCCTTCCCAGCACCTTGCTCCGAAGTCCTCTGCTCTCTGCTGCTTCCTTCTCACAAAAACCTCTGCAACCAAGCCCTGTCCCAAGGGCGGAAAAACCGAAGTCCGGGCCCGCCTCCTTCCACGGAGGCCTTACGGCGAAGAAATAGATTGAGAGCGGGCACAGTGAAGTGCAGCCGCTCAGGCCAGATGGGCACAGAAAATGTGCAGCCAGCAAAGAGCCGAAGTAAAAAACTGTTATGCGGTGAAACTTCGGGGACTTCGAGCCTCCTATCGTTAGGGCTCCTAAAAGCGGCCCCTAGAGGAGGCTCCGCTACCATGCGAACTTTTCCAAGCACTAAAGGGCTGCGATTCGATGGTCGGTGTGTACAAAGCGGCAGGGGCTAATCTCTTGCACTAATAAAGACCTTACTAGGGTTCTTTACTGATTCGGCTTCTTGATGAATATAGGGGCCTGATTATATTAGAATAGGGTTTAGGGGTTGAGGGTTTTTTGGGTTTAGGGTTTAGGGGTCTAGGGTCTAAAGTTTAGGGGGTTTAGGGTCTAGGGTTGTCACATTCCAACTCGCTGAGGCAAGCCACGAGCTTGCAAAGAATGCGATCGCCCGGTGCACACTGCCTTGGACATGGGGCTTCTTCAAACGAGGGGTAGAGCCACAAGAGGTCGTAGATTTAGAGGTATCTTTCTCGGGCTGGTGTTTGCTTGTTGATGAGGCTTTTGGGTATTCGTACGATGGTGGGTTTATAAGGATTCATATGGCCTCTCGAGTTTTGGAGGTAAGGCAGCAGTTCTTAAACACCCAACACCCGCGAGAAAGACATCGCGATGGCCATGGCGATGTAGAGAAATCGTTCAAGCTTTTAAAGATCAGGAAACGCCCTGTGGTGACTGTTGAGGAGGGTTGTTTGCACGGTAAGCCTCTGCGGCGGCGGAGGGGTCGATGATAACATCTCTAATATTTTGCTGAAGCGATGTGAAGTACGTGAAACACAGCCAGAATTCACAGTGATGACAATTCAAACAGCACAAGCTGTGATTAACTAGAAGGACTTGACAGAAGAAAACAAACATAACAAATACTTTTCAATCGAAGAACGTTAACGATGGCTTTACAAACGAACCGCCGTGTTGCAAAGAGGACATCCTGAAGTATACGGAGGGGAAATAGTAACACTAGTATTAAAGCAATGCGTAAACGGGCATGAGCGAAACAGAACGCACCAGCATCCACATTGATCAAGATTTCACAAACAGTTGAGGGACTAGGAAAAATACCGGCCCCGCCCCTCTCAAGAACAACTCGTTATCACTATTCAGGTCCCTCAACTGCGCTTAAACATTATATGGTGATGATAGAGGATATTCTAGGCATGAATCTGAAAGGCCTACGCATCCGGAGTTCAAGAATTTGTTGCTTTGTTGTGGTCCGTTCGTCTAGTGTTGGTTTTCTTGTGTATGATAAGTATTGCGTTTTCTGAAGCATGTAAATCTTATGGGCTTACGCTGTGTCGCGAACCCGGGAAACTGTACCTAAGTCGTGAAAGCAGTGTATTGATACTTACGGCTTTCTTGTCATAGTGTTTTGCTTACTGCTTACCCTAAACCCTAACACCCTAAACCCTAATACCCTGAATCCTCAACCCAACCGTTCCAAAACCGCTATAGCCCTGTCCAACAGCGCTCCGCTACTTGGAGACGTCCAGCATCTCATTGTTAGGCACAAAGGACTCAGCAGCTAATGCAGGATCCTGAAAAAGAAACCCTGGCCCTATAACCCCCCAAAACTCAGTATGCGTATAAACCAACACAGACCCAGCGCTTCTTAATCAGGTTCCTATTATGGTGTCTTAGTGAACACAAGAGCCGGAAATACACACAAAACCATGCAATAAATCCAGACAGAGCACAGAACATGGAAGAGACCGGTGCCAACGGAGTTTAGGACTACTTGGAGGTTCATGGGTAGTTATAAGTGGGGTTATAAGCCCCCTAATATGGGCTATAACTATAGTTACCTTACTTATAACCTCACTTATAACTACCCATGAACCTCCAAGTACGACTATCAGCAGATTCTACAAGCAAGGTTTTTGTCGGCTGCAGAACTGTAAGTCGCTATGGCTCTACGTATTACTCACCCCAAAACCCGGCACAACCCCAAACCCTAAACCCGAAACCCTAAACCAGGTGTTTCGGGGTTTAGGCAGGGCTTTAGGGATTTAGGCTTTAGGGCTTATACGCCTCAAACCTGAAAAACCCTAAACTCCAAACCCTGACCCAAAAGAGGCAAGTTCCTGGGCACCCTGAGCCTGTAAGTACGAAGGACAGTCAGCCCATGCTCGAGGAATATAGGTAGTTGTCTAGATTGGGGTCCATTTTAGGGTCCTCTTTGTAAGGGTGCCGTAATATATTGGGGACCTAAAGAGGGGCCCTAATTTAGAGAACTACCCATACACCTATGCGAGCTATACTTCGTATGTGCGGGCTTTTTGGGTTCGCTAGGTGCACATAATAGTACTAGTAATCTAGGTTCCCCAGTAGTACCCTTTTGCCCTTATTTCTTTTTAGGTTCCCTTAATGAAACCAAATAATAGGAAAAAGGGTACCCTTATTATGTGGGACCTAGTAATGGTAATAACACTAGTGAGAATGATAATAACAATAATAACACTACTAATAACAATCATTACTATGAAGATAATGACATACTAATAATAATACCAATAATAATACTAATAATAATACTAATAATAATACAAATAATAACACTAATACAACCGGTTGTTGCTATGAGGATCAATCCGGGCCCAAAAGCCTTAATATATGAGTCCTTAGACTGCAAATACTGGCACATACAAATGACAAACGAAGCCGTCGCAAAGAGCTGTGAAACCCTGGCAAGCGCTTGCGGTCCGAGGGTCAAGTAGCCCTTGGAGGGCTCCACGGCATCCTTGCCGGATGACTTGGGCTTTAGGGTTTAGGCTTTAGGGTTTAGGGTTTTAGCGTTAAACCGCAGAATTTAGCAGGGTTTAGCGTTCAGGGTTTAGATTGAAAAACACGCTTTTCTAGCGTCAAACTAAGAGTTTACGGGGGCTTAAGGTTTAGGCTTTAGATTAGATTCTGGGAAGTTCTCTAAACTGGGGTCCCGTTTTAGGTCCCTAGAATAGTTTGGCACGTTTTGAAAAGGACCCTAACAGGAACCCTGATTTAGAGAACTACCCAGCCAGTCTTCTTCGTCTTGGGCTTTTGGAGGTCTGTGTTTAGGTTTTAGGCTTTGTGTTCAGGGCATTGGCGTGAGGTTCTTGCAGGTTTTGAGGTGGTGCTGTCTGTAGCACAAAGGAATTTCGATCTTTCGGGCTTAGATTTTTTTAGCTCACGTGAGATTTCATTCGTTCTTCGGGGGCTGCTTTGGACTAGGGTCGCTTCGGCTTCCTACTTGTGATGGGACGAAATCCTGCACCAACCATGGTAAGGACCCGCAAAGCCTCCCACAGTTTGTGGTACTTACGGTCGAGTCACGCAAGTTTTGGTTCATCAGCCGAAACTTCATGGCAGCCGCGAGGAGTATGACTTCTACTTTTCACCTTGGGCAGCATCTTGGCTTTCACTGTTGATTACGAGGGCTGCAAGCCCTAAACCCTTAGACCCTAAATCCTTGATCCCTAAACCCGAGCCATTCTTCACTCTTCCAGGGCCAGATCTTCGGCTACAATTGACCTCTTGTTTTGTCTCTTCCTGAGCATTCTGCATCTTCTTTGCAGTCATCACCTCTCTGGATCTTGTGCTTGTCCTCTTCATCTAGGCCCGAATTCGTGGCCACAAGGATCATCACCAAAAAGGCCGAATCTAGCACCTTTTCCTTTCTGATTCTCCACCCTTTCTCAAGCGGCATGATGGTGATGGTCATCACGCTGGTCATCATCATCAGCATCATGCCTATCATCAGAATCATCATCGTCAACCTGTTCATCTTCAGCGCCATGGTCATCTTCGCTGCTCGCTCTCATGTCGAGCTAAGGTTGCAGGTGGGCTTAATCTTGGGCAGGCGGTTCAGGGTCTAGGCTACCGGGGTCTGGAGCGACTACTGCAAAGGCTTCTACACTCACCAATCGAGATGACGTTCTGCTTTTCCTCCATCCAATAAAAGGAAACCGAATGAGGAACAATGGTGTCCCTTTGTTGTCCCGTTGGAATTATGGTATAATAAGCCCCACTGATTCTACTTACTACGCAACCTGTTTATGTTGCGCAGAACAATGGATTATAAATGCTCCTAGGGCCTACACCCCAAACCCTAAAGGAACCCTGGGCCCCCGGCATAGTCTACGATGGCCACCAATTCTTGCACGTCAGCATTCTCGTCCACAGGGTCCTTGGCTCTGGGCGACAATGAGGGACCTGAACAACCACAATGCGCATCTATCCGGGAACCCTGTCTATTGAAGAATCAACCTACTTCGCCAAAGAGAAATGCCTCAAACTCTAAACCTTTCAATTCAATAGGCTCAAATTTATACACAACAAGCGGTAGCCTGCCTAAGTGAGGGCCATGCAGTTCTCTGCGTACAGTAACATGAGCCCAGCCGCTTGGCAATGCGAAGCACTTCCATTCGCGGCCTGCGGCGCCTCCAGCTGTCATACGAAAGGGAAATACGTAGGGTTTAGGGTTTAGGGTTTAGGGTATTGGGACTATAAACCCTAAACCCTAAATCCCTAAACCCTAATATTACGACATATTCCGACGTCCATATGGGCTTGGGCTTAGGCTGTAGGGCTCAAGGGTGTAAGGTCCCCCCATCTGAAAGCTCGATGAAGGACCTATGAGCCTTCATAATTACACTAGGGTTTTGGGGCAATATAGGGGCCTTCATAATTACCTATACTCTTTTGGGGGTTCCTTATTCTAATTATAATATCAATCATATCATGGGCCCCAAAACCCTATTCTAATTTTTAAGGCCCCTATATTCTCTTACTCCAAAAGTCGCATAAGGAACACGAAGGAATAGCATTGGTTAGTAGTATTTTGCCGCCTCCGATATTGGTGAGGGAAGGAAAGAAGAACCTTCCTCAATCTCAAACGGGAATCCTCAAGACATCCTAGGGGGCAGAATCTTCCTTAGTTCTTAACTTTGGGGTGTGATGCCTGCACGCCACGCATCTAAGTAGGCGTCGGAGGAACACCCTGTTGCACATGGGTGGTTTTCTAAACTAGGGTCCCTTTTTAGGTCCCCAACATAGTACGGCACCCTTATACAATGGACCCTAAAAGGGACCCTAATTTAGAGAACTACCCGTATGGGGTCTGTAGTGGAAGAGCAGTACCTCTTATTCACACCCCACCGGTCGGATACCCTAATCCACCTTAAGCCTGACACCCTCCGAGTTCTGAGACCTTTTAAAGGGTCACGCCTAGAGGCTCTCTTCTTGTGGTACCGTCCGTAAAACCCTAAACCCAAAACCTAAACCTTAAACCCAAACCCCAAACCCTAAAAGCCCTAAAGCCCTAAACCCAAACCCTAAACGCTAAAAACCTAAACCCTAAAAGTCCTAAACCCCGACACCCCTGAACCCAAACCCTAAACGCTAAAAGCCCTAAACCCTAAAAACCTTAAAATCCTAAAGCCTAAACTCCTCAACCCCTTGTAAACCCCTAAACCCTAAACCATCCTTAGAACACCCGTACTTGGCTCGGGGAAGACCAATGCAGTGAGGGGCAGTCTACGGTAGAAGCCATGGGCCCCTAGTATGGGCCCTTAACCCTGGGACCCTAATATACCTACATATACCCTTAAGGGGGCCTAGAATCCCAGACCCGCAAAAGGATCCAAAAAATAGATGCCCTAAGGGTTCCTATGAAGTACCCTTTAGTAGTTAGGGTCCCTAATTAGGGGATCTATTTTTAGATCCTTGTGGGGGTCTGGGATCCGGGTTTAGGGTTTAGGGTTTAGGGCCTAACGGCCCATGTTAGGGGCCCATGGGTTCAACCCCTGGGACAGGGGAGCCTCCGCTGGAAAGGCCTCGATCGAAGAGCCTGGGCGCGCCTGGCGCTTTCTTGAACATGGGTAATGTAGGGTTTAGGGTTTAGGGTTTAGGGGTTTAGGGTTTAGGGTTTAGGGGTTTAGGGTTTAGGTTTTAGGGTTTAGGGCGCTTTCTTGAACATGGGTAATGTAGGGACCTTAATAATTAGAATAGGGTTTTGGTGCCGATTATAATACACTTATGATAAGGAAACCCCGAAAACCCAGTTCCAACTATCAAGGCACCTATATTAAGAAAGTTTGCGGTTTAGGGGGTTAGGTTTGGGGATTCTAGGGATCCCTGTGTTCTATCGATCCTTATGCAATCCTACACCGAAGAACATCGCAGTCCTACAAACCTCCCACCCACTGCGCTCTGAATTTACCCCTACCTTAAGTTATTAAGAACCCAAAACCCACTTTTTTTGTAGGTTCTTATTATAAACCCTAATGGGACCCTACAAAAAAGTAGGTTTTGGGTTCTTAAAGTAAACCCAAAACCCCAAACCCAAGACCCTTTGCATTCTGGACTTCAGGAGACAAAGGGAGGGCTTCCAGGTTTAGAGATTGTTTTGTAGGCCCTACGCGGGCCACCAGAAAACGCTATACAACCTTTGAGCAACGCCTGTTCAACTCGTGTATCATACACAAAATAACGGCATGATAAGAAGCCATCGATCTCGCCACACAATTGTATTGTTGTACTGCCGTTATCATGGTTATTCTGTCCCTGTATACACGATGATCAGCTACAGGAGTTGTGACCTTCTGTGAGCACGACTCACTGGCTATCACATCGAAGCCTGTGGCTTCGGGGCTTGAGGGCTTTGAGGTAGTAGGGTATACTTTTTTGGGGTTTGGAAGTTTTTCATAACAATCCCACACCCCTCTTTCTTTGGGCCCATTTGCTTCTAGGATTTCTCGTTGGGGTGTCGGAGCCCAGGCAAACCTGACAACCGTCAAACCACACCAAACCCCACAACACCCTTAACTTCAAAACCCTGCAGGCCTCAAAACCTCTACACCCCTCTACCCTAAAGCCCTAAAGCCCCGAAGCCTACACAAAAACCCTGAGCCTGCCCCAAAAGCCTACACAAAACCCTAAGCCCGAAGCTCTAAGGCCCTAGAGCCTCCAAAAAAAACCCTGAGCCCTGAGCCCCTTGACTTTGAAGTAACCAGGGGGAAAAAAGTATGGCCTTTAATTTCATAATGGCTCCCGTAAGGAACAGCAGGAAGCCCGTGGAACCGAACCG